CAGGGTAATCTGTTAGATCGCTGGATGTGGAGGTGGTGCTGGGACTGTCCCTAGGGTGCCCCAACACAGCAACAAGAGAGGCACCTCGGTGCTATTGGTTTATATAGCACTTTCCGTACATCTGATTTAATGCCTCAAATAAGAAAAGTGGCTGTAGCTCTTAGAAGACATTAGCAATGTTCATTTATGTTGCTTTTTCCATTTGAGCAGCACTTAAAGCCAGTTTTAGCGCACTGCCTACGTTCTCGGATAACCCTACGGCCATCAACGTCTACACATCAACTATGGAAAAACGAGCCTCCTTTCCTGTCAACTGATACATACTAGTGTTAAAAGTATTTATCCTTTGTGTGAGCCATAAAAAGGAAAAGTCAAAGTTAAAAAAAGTCAAGCACTGCCACAGGCTCCGCTGAAGAAAAGGGGACTGTTATCGGGCGCGACACTGCTCCCGATGGAAGCCTGGGAGCCCCAGTACAGCAGGTGTGGGGCACTGGTTGGCTGCGACCCACTCGATAACGTTATGAGGGTGACACTTTAAAAAACAGAAAGTAACCAGAAGAGAAGGTAGTGAGTTCTTAGGCTTTAATCCTTTTTCAAACGTGCTACTTGACTTATCTTCATGCGTGACATTTTCATGTCAGTGTTGTAAAACATGTCTGTAAAATCCACAAGTTTGGGACTGAGAAAGGAGTATTTTCAGGTCCAACAGCTTAGCACTGCTGCAGTGACTGAGACACTCGCTGTGTATTAAATCACTGAATAACAAGTTCATGTAACAGCAAATGAAACTAAGCTTAAATATTTCCCTATCGACTGAGTAATACAAATTATTTTTTTTTATATCATGTTGACTATAGGACTCATGAAGTCTAAAACAAATGACAATAGTTGACGTTATAGGATTGATTTACCGTAAAATGTGTTTTCAAAGACATTGTTGGAAGCTGTGATAACCGCACAATATATTCATGCTGGACCACAGCTTGTAGATTCGTGAGTACTTACTCAGAAAACATTTGGTGTCCAACTCTCACCTAATGCAGCTATTGTTTTAACTTCCTTCAACAGGATTTCAAATACATACTACAAATAAATTATTCTGTCTTAGAAAGAGATTAAGACAGGTGTTACTGTTTCTTAACTGGTAGCATACTTTCCAATATATTTGGAAGAATAAGAAAAAACTTAATTGAAAACTTTCTTTTTTTCCATGTTGGGAGAGGAAAGAGTACAGTTATCTCCCCCAGACACAGAACTGACAGTCGCACTACCCTTAGCCTGTCTGGATTCGCTGTTACACTGCTTTACCGCACGTATTTCAGATGTTACAAGCAGAACAGAATATCAAGGGAACGTACACCCTGCCAGCTACAAATGACAAAAGGCACAAACATGCAGCAGAGATAAGGCCATGACAAGTGTAGCAAAGAAGATTGTTTTTTGTTTTTCAAATTTCCTTCTTTTCCATCATGAAGAGATTTTGTCAAGGAATGTAAGAGTCAGGTTTTAAATAAATGTGTTTGCAAGAAAATAGGAGCTGTGCAGAGGCTGTTTATGAGATGTCTGCTTTCACACCACAGGCTTTTACTCGCTAGATATCAAAATATGGGAGCCAAAAATTGTCTGAGTACCTCATTGTTTATTCTTTCTCAGACTGGCATAGGCAAGCAGATGCAAAGTCTTTCCAAGTGGAAGCAGAGAGGGTACTAAATGACAGTCAGTCTTGGCACAGACTTTTGGTGTGTATATTCAGCAAGGTTTCTAAAGCTGCTTGATTCTTACAAAGCAATAACACACGGTCTGTTTTCCTCTTTCAGCTTCTAATTATGACAGCCATTGACCTTCAAGTTTGTTCAAGTTCCTTGCAAGCGCCAAGAAATTAATTAAAACTTCACAGGAATGTGACAGTCTCAGGAAAAAATAGAGTAGTAGGGCTGAAACTTCTCTTCTTGTTATTTTAGAGCAACTACATTTTAGAGAAAAAAGAAAGCCTTTGGTCTTCACTTCCTTCCTAAGAACTCAATAAGTGTTTTTAAGGTACAGATTTGATACCACTTCTATGAACTTTGATTTACTTTTAAAAAGTCTTGCTTTTATGCAAAGAGTGTATTAATATTGCTGTGAAAAGAATGAATACCTGAATCACAATCTCTTCCACTTAGACCCTCTGATTGAGTTGAGGACAGTTCAGCTGGCCAGAGACATTACGCATCTCGTGATCACAGTCCTCCAAGGACACACATGGATACATGCGGGAGATGGTGAAGGCAGATCTAGTAGCAGTCACAGCACCCCGATCCAGCCTGACTTCTGCTGATAAACTCCTTACCTCTTGCTATGCATTAATCCCATAAAGTGTGGGCAGCAGTGTGAAAGACAGAAGAAACTTTGACAACAAGGGAATTCCTTCTTGCCAAGAAGCAGCAAACAGAAAGACACGTATAAATTGAAGTTCCTTTGAACATCTGTAACCGGTAGCTTACAAAGAAGAATTAAGGACTGCTACTACCACAGAAAGTTATTTTTAAAATTTCACAATGAGGTAAACTGCTTTTTCAAAAAGAAATTCTGGAGAATAGTAGAGGCACCTGTGTTTAGAAGCCCCCTGCATGGTCCGGCCTTGACCACTGGGAATATGCAGAGGTGTGAGTGGTCTTACCAAATGTTTTGCTCAAAGTTTCAAACGCATCCTTTGGTTTCAAATACAAAAGGTAATTGTCTGAGAGCCCCAAGAACATCTCCAGCAAAATCAGAGAAGGCCAGAACTCACAGTGCAGATATTCCTATGGTTTTTAAAAAAGCAGCACAATACACTGAAGGAGCAAAGCCTTCTTTATAAACCTTAATGAATTGAGAGGAAAAAGCCCTCTGCGTGCCACCTTTCCATGGAATGAATCTGCCGTCGTTCCTAGGGGCAAAAGGCCACGGCAATTTTTCAGTGCAGCTATGGAAGTAATTTCCTGTCCCTGCACTCTCTGTGTTCTCATTTATTCTACACAAAACAAACTGTCAAAGTAAGGTGTGCTACGGCTCTGCTCTTCAGAGAGCTCTGAATGCAGAACACCTTTGATCCCGGGTGGAGAGTTCCAGCAGGCTGTTTCCTCACCCCCTGCTCCGGAGAGATGCTTGGGTATTGTGGGCGTCTGCCTCCCCTCATCCCCCGAATGAGATATTGCTTTTCTCTGCTACTGGTACTCTGTCATGACAGCACCGACAGAATGCAGACCACAAGCTGAACAAAACCAGTCTTTTAAAAAGAAAAGTATCCAGGCTCTGCTTGTCACACTTGCACGTGTGAGCAAAACAGAGCAAACCTAACTCTGCTGTCATGGTTTCGGCTGGGATGGAGCTGACGTTGTCAGCAGCCGGTGCAGTGCGGTGGTTTGGGTTTGGGATGGGAACACTGTTGGGAGCGCACTGGTGGGTTTGGTCGGTGTGGGGCTCTCAAGGCCTTCTCTGCCCCTCACCCCACCCCAGCAGCCATGGGCTGGGGGGCACGAGGAGCTGGGAGGGGACACGGCCGGGACAGCCGACCCCAACTGACCCCAGGGATGTCCCGGACCCTGGGACGTCACGCTCAGGATACAACGCTGAGAAGAAGGAGGAAGGGGGGACGTTGGGAGCGATGGCGTTGGTCTGCCCCAGTCACCGTTAGGCGTGATGGAGCCCGGCTGTCCTGGGGATGGCTGAACCCCGCCGGCCGTGGGGAGCAGGGGAGGAACCCCTTGTGGGGTGTGCGCGGCTTTCGCTCTGCCTATTGAACCATCTTTGTCTCAACCCGTGAGTTTTCCCACTTTTACTTTTCCAATCCTCTCCCCAACCCAACTGGAGGGGTGAGCGAGCAGTGGCATGGTCCAAGCTGCTGGCTGGGGTTAAACCATGACATCCACCTACATACAATTGTCCTTGCCAGAATGGGTCGAGGTGTATAAGTGGATATGCAAAAAACCCACAACCAAACAGCTTTGACTTCAGATCTCCTTTTTACTAAGGTGATTCTCAGCATCTAAAATCATCTTGTGACATGCGTTAATGACTGCTACATACTCTTTTCCATGTTCTTGTCCTCATTGTGAATGCATCTTATGGCCCGTACGCACAAAACTGTAATGAATTATAAAAGGGACAGCAATAGTCCTAAGACATGATGGTTTCTCATTTTAATGGCTAGTCCAGGGATTGTTCCAATCACTGTGAACTCCCTTAACAGCAGTGCTTATCATAGCAGCTAAATCTAGTTTCATAATTTTCATTTCCTGTAATGTAAAATGTTAGACTCATTTAAATTTCATCTAATTTGTGTACTACTCACCTCCCCCCAGGCAGCAGGTGGAGGCTCCACAGGAGGGTAATATTTGGGGACATCCCAAGCCACTGCAGCCATGAACCACTTGAAATCTTTACATTTAAGGTGCTTGCGAAGTTCCTTCTGGGCTGAGATATCACCAGTTGAGAGATGTCTGTACTCAGGCCGCCGCTGGTAAATGTACTCTGCAAACTCATCCATCCACGTCTCTGCCACGCGCTTCAGGTTCTGTGCAGCAGAAAAAAGCAATCATTAATTTCTTCATGCTTTGACTGAATGATATTTCTAATGGGGTGAATTAAGCAGAAATGTTTCAATACACCACACAAATTTTAAGGTTAGCTGGTCTAATTGCTCAGTCTTAAAACATGGAAAAATACTAGTAAATGTATGCCATCTTCATTACAGTGTTGAACAGACACTACAGAGTATTACGTATCCTGCTTTCCATCTGACTCTGTAAGATACGGTCTTCTATCTGTTGACCATCTCATTTTCCTTCATATGCTTTATGCATCCTCACATGGGTTTTTGATCAATGATGGATGTTGAACAGAAATTTTCCTCCAGCTGCTCACATTGATACCTGTATTTTTTTCCTGTTAGTTCAGAACCTACTAATGTGCGTGAATGGTTCAAATTATTCCTTCTGATGTGCTTCACTTTGCATTTGAAAGGCATCTGAATTTTCAGCTGTCATCATACTGCGTAGTCACCTAGCAATTCCTACCTAAATGTTAAGGTCAGCTCTTCAACGCGTATGTATGGGGGCAAGCAGTCATGAGCCAGCTCTGCCCCATTGCACAGCTGGTTTTGCACTGGCTGGGGACTGGGAGCTGCACTGTGTTGGCATGCCAATATGTCTCTGCAAAGGAATCGCATGTAATCCCGAAGTGGAGCTGAGCTCATGGGGGCAAAGCAGCTCATGGGATGGGGACGGCAACTCGTAGCTCTCTGCATTCATCCTACAGACACACCTAAGGCTATTTCTGTTCCATGAATCCCAGTCCTGGTTTATGGCCCACGACGTTTATTTCTGTTGACGTTTACAGGAAACAGAATTAGATGTTTTGTTGTGCAATACTTTACTTACATTATAATTAATTAAATTAGCTGATGCAAATTACAAAATAAAAAAAGACTTCTAAGGAAAAATCCTGGACAGATGAGAGTGAAGAGAGACGTTTTATTGCTGGTTAGCATCATCGAGTCTAAATAGTCTGGGGGCAAATTTTTGTGTATTTTTGTTTGGCTTTAAAAGTCCTCCTGCAACTTAATCCACACAAATTTATATGCGGATGTTGTAGTGGAATACAGACTTAGTCTATTCTGCATTTGCACAGCTGCCCAATAACCTCTTATCCCACCACCAAAGCAACATCTCCCCGGATGACACCGAGACACTAGGGTGTTCTTATTGCTTTGTTTGTAAAAACAAGATCATCAAGTTTGTAATATTCTTTTTATAGAACACTAACGGCAAAATGCTGAGATTCGCTCTGTAATAAGCTGGAAGACAATATACATCTGATTATCATCAACATAAGGTAATGTTTCTTCTTGGAACATTCTCGGCTTCTAAGTAAGCCTGATTCGTACTCTGATTTGCTTTCATGATTCATTTGAAAATTCCTTTCCTGAATTTTATTAATCCACGCAAACTAAATGTCTCTGAACTAATAAGGCTTATCTGAATACAAAGACAGCAAGATACAGAACAAAGAAAGTACTTTTAGCTGACACTGCAAGATAAGTTTCTATGTGCTCTCTCTCTGTGAAGCAAATACATTAAAACCTGCAGCGATAAAGCAAGTAAAATTAAAGCAGTATAAGAAATCACAACACTCATATCCCTATTCAAAAACGGCTCGTGCCCCACATAAGGTTGACTTTTGTTGTAATTTCATGAAAACCTGAATTACTTTCCAAGAAATTTGAATGTAAGTATACAGGAACTGGGTAGGACAAAGAAAACCAGAACAAATTCAACAACAACATCTAAATGACAATCCCACCTTTCTGGCAGTAACACAGAAGTCTCCTGACAAGTAAAAATATTATGTGATGGCACTTTGTAGATGAGGCCAAAATATGATTAAGCACATTAAACTAAGAAGACAAAATCATGGAAACAGGTGTGATCTTCCTTGCGTATCTTCCACTGTATGCTGTGCACCTCATTTACTGCAAAGCAAATGCAGTTTAAGACTGTTCTGGAAAAGATCAGACTATTCTTTGCAATCACTTTATCTGATAGTGCTATTTTCATATTTAGAAAAACATACTGTAAAAAAACTCATACAGTAAAATACAGTAAAAAAATTCTCTTAGGAAAGAAAAATTCAGAGTAACTCCAGCAGCGACTTACCCCATCAATATCACATACACAGGCTCTGCTGGAGTTTCCTCTTTAGTCAGTTGGCTGCACTAGAAGAACTGCATTCTGCTTTAGATGATTATAACTGAATAAACCAGGAGCCCAACAGAAATCTTGATATTACACCTGGTCACTAGCTCCAAATTCTCATTCACCAGTCAAAAACTGTCTTCCGAGAAGTCCTTTATCACTGCTTGGGTTCTGTGTGTGTGTGTGTAAACCCACCAAAACATTTCATTAAACGTATTCATATATATTCAGTTCTTCCCACCATTCCTCAAGTATCAGGTAAGACACTTTAGACAAATCTATTTAAAACTTTGTTCCGCAATTCTTCCAAGACCATTCTCTCCATCACACGCTAAACATCTTCCCAAACCTTGGCAGGTCCTGTAATGAACCTGTATATTATCCGTAGCATGTTTATACTCTGCTGTCATAAGCTGAGCCCTCATGAGGCTGCCCTTTGAATTTCAATAGGTTCCCTTTTGAAAATGCAAACTCTTGATTTGCTAGCTGTAAAGCTCCAGACTGTTTATGAACACGACTGCAAGGAACTCCCTGTCCTGGAGCAGTGGGAAGCTCGTTGTGAAGTTGCCAGTTACTGGGAAGCAAGCACTCAGCATCCAAACACTTGACTTTTAAAGACGTTTGTTGGCTGCAGTTAGCACAGGTTTCTTATCCTTATTATCACTACGCGAGCTCAGTAATCACCACTTCCTTTTAACATAAATGTGTACGGAGCAGTCGTAAAACGCTGAACAGCAGTCAATCCCCACACTCAAACTGAATGCGGTCCAGCAAAGCTGCTGTCCACCAGCTCGCACAATAAAGGCAAACACCATTGACATTCCTCTTTAGAACATGCTAACTGGAGCAAAAACACAGGCTGCCCAAGAGAGACGAGTGAGCTGGTGATCCCTGCTCCATGGCTGTCTAGTAGCATGAAAAGTTGCACTATGCAAAGGACCTCTGAGGACTATAACTCTTCTCTGCCAGTTATGTCAGTGAGCTGCCGCTCTTTCACTCACCTTGTCACAGCAGAAAGGTGGAGGAGGACAACCGCGATGAGAGTGCCCATCTCTGAAGGCTTGAAGGCCTACCCATTGAGTGCCAGACTGCAGGGTGAGGACACGACTGAACGTCCCTTGCGAGCCTCCCGGAGTTGCCCTTCCCACAGCCTGGGTGAACGTCTGACATGGTGGAGGAAGGAGGACGGTGGCCTCCTCCCTGCCGGAGCCTCGGCAAGGCGAGACACAGGCTGAGCATGCCAATGCACGAAGCCTCGCTAGCAGGAACGGGTATCAATAGCTACCAAATCCGGACGCAGTCGAGCTGTAAAATAGCTGCTAAGCAGTTGGGCTATAGCAGGACTTCCTCATATGTGGGGGTTTATACTGCCGTGGAACCTACAGGTCGAAGGAGTTTAAGAGCCTACCAGAGTAGGTGGCATTTTAGTGAATGTCTCATGGCATCATTTAAGCACGACAGTCTCACAGGGAAGCTAATCTACAAAGAATTTAGAACAAACAAAATAAGAGTTAGACTTGAATCTTCTTGATTTCTGTCTCTGTTACTCTTTGCGTAATCTTCTAAAGAAGACTCCCTTAAAAGCCAGTTTCTCAAATAGCATCAAACAGCTTTATCAGTAAGAAGAAACAGTTTGAGGATACCTTTGTGGCAGATCACACTTGTTTGGGTTCTTTTACTTCGATCTGAACACCTCATCTAAATGCATACACAAAGAAAAAATGAAAACTGCTGCAGCCTATCTTGCTTGTCAAATTCATTGCAAGGTTACAGATGTCCAGATTGGTTACGCTGGACTTTTAATAGAAAAAAAGGAAAAATAAAAATTAAACAGGAGCAATTAAATGAAGGTAAATTCCATATTAATCAGTTACATGAATTAACACACAATGTAAGGAAGTCACAGCGACTCTAGATGGACATCTGAAGAGTTTCTCAGGGCCCATCCACGACGGACCAATGATAACTTCTTCTGTCTCTTATAATTTTCAGCAAAACATTTATGTACGAGAATAAATAAGGCCCAATGATATTTCAGTCGATGCATATTTCTATATGTAAGGTTGTGACAGCTGTCACCAAGAAGCTGTGAGATGCACACAAAAGCGATGGCAACCACAGTAAGACTGACTCATCAGCTGTCATCAGTTCCCCATGAATGCCTTTTTTGAGATAATTAAGTTTTGTGTCACTGTTACAATTTTGTTCTTTGGTAAATCCTTTACTGTCGGGCTTACAGTTGGACAAGTTTTCTTTGAGTTGGTATGAACTCACACATTTAAGACTGTGACTTTGTTTTGTATTTTCATTCCACAACAGCCTACAAGACAGTAAGTTATAATGTCACTGATACCCGGACTCCCATAAAAGCGTTTAAATCAACTTGACTGGAGAAAGACAGAGATAAATGAGGACTTCTCCACTTGGAAAAAAGAAATTTTTCATGGACCATTTTGTCCCTTTCACTTTTTTCTGTGAGTGGGGAAGATACATCTCTCTGATGGAATGACTGTCCCTTCTTTTTAAACGCGTGAGATCATCTGTCATTTTCAAGAGATGTGATATTACTCAAATAAACCCAGTGAGAAGAATGTAGACTCTGGCCACGAGAATGGAAAAGTGGAGTGAGGCAGGGACAAGACAAAGGACGGACTCGTAAATATTCCCTCTAAGCAAGGTTTAGCCAGGCTGGTCCCTAATACAAGCCGGGTAGTTCCACATTTCATTGCCCACTGCATCTGCGGTGAGAGGAGAGGCACCTGGCTGTACGCGATCCCGCACCCCGTGCCCGCACGGCTCCATCCTCCCGCTGCGTCTTTTC